ATCATGACAACCTCAAGGTAAAACAACACAGAGGAGAGTCTTTTGTTCTGGTTGCTGTTTGCTGCATGTTGGGTTCAGAGTCCAGTCAGATCACCTGAATACGGTTTTATTGTGTATTACACATTTTAACATCTGAACAGTTTGACACTGAACTGTGCAACAAAACGGCTGAAATCGTTCTGTATTTGTCTTTGTGTAAACAGACCAAATTAAAAGGAAAAAAAAACAATGAATGGATGATTTAAACATTTTTTAACTGATTTGTCTGATTCCTCTGTGCTCCACTGGAGTGAAAAATCTGAGGGAAAAAACTGAAAGAGCTGAATTATGGTGCTTGGTGACTTGTTCATTCAGTACGATGAAAAGTTGCACTGCAGCTTTAAGTCAACCACGAATGGGACTTCTATTTAAATAGCATTAACTGAAAACTAGCCCCCACAACCTGAAATAGAGGGAGCACCCTATATATTGTGTTGTAGAGCACACACACAAAAGTAGTTATGTTTTTTCCTCAAAGTTTTAAGAAATTGTAATAATCAGATATAACTATATCATTCTGTGTTTGTGTTTCATGTGTTAATTCTCTCTTGTAAGCACAATTTATAACTAATAGAATTTTTTTTATTAACTACAACTAAAAACTTTAACTGGAAATACTGATAGTTAAATTCCTCTGAATACAAAAGCTGACAAAAACTTGAAGATGCAACAAGCTCAACCAGAAGAAAAAAATGAGCGAAAACAAGAGTGATAATGGCCTCACTGGGACGACATCAGCTGATTATTTTTAAGTGTTACAAATCTTGTCAATTAAGAGTTTAGTGAAGTTTCTGACTATTGTAGGGAAGTTGGAAAGTATTGGCAGACAGAAAAACACATGGTTGTTTTTTTTTGTATTTTAATGGAAATGTATGATCCAGTTATTCTGTTTTACTTTGAAGATACAGTCATGGATCAAGTCGGTGCACAGCTGTAAAGCTTCCAGTTTGAAACGCATCTCTCGTCTTTCTTCAGGTCGTGGAGGCTGACATTTTCTCAGCAGACAGCCTGAAGCCTCACTTTAAGGGTCAGGATGTAATCATGTCCTGCCTCGGCTTCCCAGCCTCCTTCTTCTCGGCGGTGACGGGTTACACCCTGTCCATGAAGGGTGTGATCAGCGCCATGCAAGAGGCCCGAGTCAGCAGGATCATCACCATGACCTCCTGGTACACTGAGCGTAAGTGAAGGAACTAAAATGATGATCTCTTGTTTGGTTATATAGCTTCATACAAATATATACAAAAACCTGTTGTTGTTTTGTCTTAAAATGTTTTTTATACAATGACAGGTGTTGAAAGCTTGATATAAATGACATGGATGATGTATTTTGACATTGACAAGTCTTACAATGTAGCCTCATTTATTTGTTTTTCTTCAGTGTTTTTCAGAATTTGCAGTGCGTCTTTCTATCAATGACAGGGTTTCAAGTTTGGTAGGAAAAAAAACAGACAGAGACACTCATTCTTGAGCTTGCCAAATGTGTTCCTTCATGTGAGAACAAAAGCGGTTTGCTATTAATATATTTTCTTTGTATCTTGCAAAACTGGCCTTTTCCTTCGTAAGGTAACGAGGTGGATAAATCAGTATCTTTGTGAATTTTGAAGGATTTCTCTGTGTTTTCCTCTGTTGTTTGTAGCTGACTCTGGAACAAAGTCGTCTTATCTCATCCGCTTCCTCCTTCTGCCAATGATCCGAAGCGTCCTCACCAACATGTATGAGATGGAGCAGATTCTGCAGAAGACTGGGGACATCAACTGGACCGTGGTTCGTCCACCGGGCCTCAAGAACCTGCCCGCCTCAGGTAAAAGCAGACTATTCACAGTCAACAAGGAGGCACAAACAAACCTTACTAAGGATTGATTGTGGAGCTCCTTTTGCCTCAGGATCCATTTTGACACAGTTCAAGCCTGTTAGCATGTGCACCCCATCACTTCATGCTGAGAATGAATGAGCTCATTTTTTCGGTCAATGTCGTTTCTCTCCTAGAGGTTTCAGCGTGAGTCTCAACTGATGGCTTTTTAAATGTTTTTTAATGCCTGTGTTCTTTACAGCCCAAGAGTTTCTGACGCAAGAGGGATACTTTGTGCCTGACAACAGTGGCAACCCTGTAGGCAGTGCAGTGGCGAGAGGAGACGTGGCCCGCTTCATGCTCTCTCTGCTCAACAGCAATGCCTGGGTGAAGAAGGGAGTCGCTATCACAACAAAATGAGGAGATGAGAAAAAGGGCCATTTCACAATGAAAATGCAACATTTTACTCATGCTGGTGGAATCTAGCCATGCAGATATTGTTCCTTATCTTCATGGTTAGATACAACTTGTTTGAGATAAACTGGCCCTTAATCAGTCTGCTTGCCATTGGAGATAATTAAACAACTGCCTTATATGGTCTAATATATATGATGAATGCCTTTTAACTACTCTTGTTTGACATGACTTTGTTTATACGATTGAAAACTACTCGATTGTTGTACAGTGCATGTTCATGTGATTGTAATACACAATGTTAGCCACACGGGGGGAGTGTTGTGCCATACCTGTGCATCAGAGGCGTAATATTTACAGTCTATGATCAGAGGTCAACCTCTTTCTATTATAAACTCACGGGTGAATGATTAAAGGATGATGAACACTGACAGGTAAACTAAATTTGCACCATGTGTTCACATTGGTACTTTGTATTCCTCTTGGTGCTGTATCAGTTCTAATAATAATACTGTTTGGGAGGACTTTTTTCAATGTTTATGAGACTCAACTGTACAAGTTAAATGTTTTGAATATGAGCTTTGATGCATTTGTTTCTGAAATGGGTTCATTATTTATAAATTTAACATTCAATACTGAAGCCTTAACTGTGTTTTCATGAATTATTTGGTTAAAGGGCAAAAAAAAAGTCCGCTTGATATTAACAGACAGTTTCTCATGTGTCTGTCAAGGCATGAACGTCATAGATCAATTAAACTGACCTGTAGTGAAATTAGACAATTACATTTGTTACAAGTAATGAACAGAGATTTATATTCTTGTCGTAATTTTGAACGATGCTGGTTTTGTTTGAAAATGTAAGAAAACAACTCGTAAGTAACAGAAGTCAATGAGTGAAACTTCATTTTTATTTTTCATTCAACCTTTATGAGTTGAAACTTTGCAACTAATGCATGTAATCCGATGAGTACTGATAACGTTTGGCATACGAGATGAAACATTAAATTTAAAAGAGAAAGAAATATCAGTTTGGTCACTTTTTTTCTTTGCTTACATTTATGCATGTGTGTGTGTAGACCTTTAAATGTGAACATGCTTTCCTGTTGATCCTAAAAAAGCACAATAATTATAGATGTTTTTCTCCTGACTTGAACCTTGACTCCACAGAAAAGTGAAAGATAATATATGGAACAAAGGTCGTGTCAGTGGAGAGGTTAAGGTTTGTTCAGAGAAGACTTTGTTGATGTCCCAGATGATGCATGCGGGATTTTATCATCATCACCATCATCATCAAACCTTGTCAGATGTCAGAAAGCCTGTGGTGAATTTACAGCATAAAAACCCAACCCTATTCAAACATTTTAAGTACTTCAACAATGCTGACTGATAAGATCTGTCAGATATATGTGTGTTACCTCTGGCTGAACTGAGGGGAAGTTGCATCGAATCCCATCGTCACTCCGTCTGATAAAAGTGTTCTGAAATGAGAAGCATCATAACCGGTTGTCCAAGTATACATCTGATTAATGTAAAGACCTTTGTAAGGCGGAGACACATTGAGGAAGTTAACACTATTATCCTTCAGGTTTGCTTCTTAGCTATTCCCTCAGGCTTGTTACACATAATGTCTGAAATCTGTATAATACCAAGCGCTGCCCACTTTCTAAATTCATCAATTCAATTATGGTAAGGATGTTGTCAATAAGTAAACGGTTAAACTTAAGGCTGCAGAATATTTTTTTGGTTTTTAACAGTAACTTTATACAGAGTCATACGTGATCAGCTCATGGAAAAAAAAAATGTTTTTGAAGGTCCAGGAAGCATTGAGCTTAAAAATGTTTTTTTGCACCATGTCAGATGATAACAAAACACACTGAATCTAGGAAATACATTATAGTTCTCCTGTGTTTTGTGTGCAAAGTTCAATATTCTCACCAGCCGTAACTTCAAAAATATAAAACAAAAGGCCCAAAAATGTACTTATAGTTGTCTTTGTATTCAATGAGGTATATTTCATTTTATTCATACTTTAAATTGTGAAATTGGACTTACTGCTTCGTTTTGTGTCCTTAAAGTATTAGGTTATGAAAAAGTATTAAGTTAAGAATATTTATATGTTTCCAACTCTACTATGCTTTTATTGAAGTAATGGAAAATGAAAAACACAGTTAAGAGTATCAACAATTTGTATAAATAAGACTTACTGGTAATTGGCTAAATCTGTGCTAGCAGCTCATTGAGGCTGCATAAGCTAATTATGTATGGGCTTCAATGAGCTCCCTCCTGTACTTTTATTGGTAACATGTCTTCTACTCCTCATTACAGGTTAATCTTTTTAGAGCTCCTGTGTCACAGTTTTACACCAGGTGGTTCTTGGCCTCCCAGGTTTCCTTTTGCCTTTTGGTTTCCATCGACTCTTGTGACCCTGTCCTGTTCCATTCACTGTTTACAAGCTAACACCTAGCATTGTCATGCTAATATGCAATTTAACAGATATCATGTGTACTATGCTCATCCAAGCTAGGCTTATTAGCATACTAAATAACGCTAATAAGGCAAAAAACAAATTATAAAATGTTTGCACGTTTAACCATTAGGTATTATTTTTTCCTCCAAAAGATTTTTAAAAATATGGCCCAAAATTAGCCGATTCCTGCTTCTCTAGAGAGAAAAAGGACTTGCTGTCTTTTTGTTTTGGCACCGTGCTCATCATCTATCCTATGTTATGTGTGTTTTATTGAAAATATTAACCACAAAAAACATGAATAATTTCTTTATTAATCCAAATCACTTTTTTTATTGTCAATCATGGAACATCTCATACGATAATAAACATATTTCTGTTAACTGTACACGGAGAAGTATGAGTTGTGCTTTACAAGTTGCACAGTCTTGGTACTGCACTTATTAAGATCATTTTGGTCGTTTTCTCTTTACATTATCAAACACTCATTCAAACATTACATTCAATAATTAAATGGCAATGTCTGAATATTAATTTTTAATTAATTAAGTTTAGGATCGTCTTTCGTACACAACATGAGGTTGGAGATCGGAAATGAATGCTGTAAAATCCTTTAAAGACAATATTGTGTTGTACAGTCAAAAGGAAAATAAATACATAATGCTGCTTCACGGATAATATGCACATTATTATGAAATTAAAAAACAGTAAACTTTGTTTCCCAGAACTTGCCTTAAAAACTGTAAAAAAATGTACTTCTGTAAATAATAATAACTGACACAATCAAGTGTTTCCAACCTGTGTGTTCTGGACACTTCACCTGTGTACGACATTAAATAAAGTGGCAAGATATTGGTTCTGATTGAGTTGTTTTATTTACCCAATGTGCTTTACTGCTGTGGAGGAGTATGAACATTTCACAGCTTAAATACCGATTTGAGACAGACAACAGAAATGTGTCATATTGAAACAAAGCATTTAATACAACACAATCAGAATCATTATTTTTTTTTTAGTTTGCACTTTTAACATCCCGGTGAAAAATGATTTTATACATTTTTCAAAATGACACCTCGACAACAAAGAGTGTTTATAAACCTGCAGTCAACTTCCTGAGAACCGTCTCTTTTAAGTGCAGCACAGTTTATTGTTTCGCCTCCGGATACATTTCGTCTATTGTCTTCTGGTACATCTTCACAACAATGGGCCTCCTCAGCTTCAAAGTGGGTCCTGCACAAAAATAAGGCAACAAAAAAAAGGATATTCAAGTCAATCGAAAGCTGAATATTGGCACATTTTTGATCCACAAACATTTCAGCGGTAGCATTTCAATCAGTCAGGAATGTCGTCAGGAATGTTGTCAGGTATGTACATGACGGGTCTGACGATGACATGATTCTGGATTATAAGGTGATTACACTTTGTGTTATGTTGAAAAGTGACAACAGTTTGAATACTTCTTCCTATCTTGTTAATAGTGCTTTGTGCTGAACTTGGCTCTATTTTTTATGCCAAAACAATGAGTCATAAGAGCATTTAAGGAGGAGCACTCTCATTATAACTTGACATGCATTTTGTCACTTTCTACCTGTGGATTATATATCTGTATGTGAATGTTGTCATACTCAAGTTTATTTGAGTTAAAGTATTATTTAAATAGCACAATTAAAACAACCTCAGTAGACCAAAGTGCTGTACAGGCTTAAAGGAGCAACATGTAACTATGACATGTGGTGTTTAAAATGGGTACGGAAGTCCAAATTTGAAACATCAGTGAGAGTTATCTACCCTGCCCCCTTCTCCCTAGAGTCAATATGCACACACGTTGCTCCGTCACGGACACTGAAGCTTCAGTGTTTAGCCAGCTCTGCATCAGTTTTGAAACCTCTCTTCGTTCTAACCTCTCTCCAGTCTTCCAAAGCATCTCTAACTTTTCTCAGAGTTTTACCACGTTTTTGGTCGATGAGCTTATTAGAAAAATGCCAAGGCTTTTTAGGTCGGGTAGAATCAGTTATATCTGATCCAGTTCGCTTTAATCGCGTTCATCGTTGGAACCCCTTTGGTTGGTTGACATGGTGCACATCCTGTCTGTCTCAGAACGACACCATCTATCACCAACCTACAATGCAGTTTTGAATTCTCTCTCTCTCCTGAATATAAAAGCTAATGTGACATATGACCTCAACAACCCACAGATGACCGGGGTTGTTAACAGCTCTAGGCGATACTAGGTCAACGCCTCAGCTAATTTAGCATTAGCATGCTAATGATCAAGAGAGGCTTGAATTTCTGCTCCGCCCTCCAGTTAGTTTCGAACTGAAGAAGCGCAGTGCTCAAACTGGAGCATGTTGGTGTGACAGCTCAGACAAACCAGAAGATGCCAACCCATGTTAAGTTTTACAAACCAGTAATACAATCTTGAACAGGTCTCTACCTAGTCCAAAGGCTTGAGGCTGCATTGTAGACCAGTTGTAAACGCAGCAGGTACGACTGATTCCACCCCAATAAAGAGGATTACAATAATCCAAAATCAAGGAGCTGTCAAAAATCCCACTGAGATTCTTGACAGAAGGGCGACTAAATCAGGATCAGGGTCCAAAAACACTGATAATGCTATCCTGGAGTTCAGATTAACAAAATACAATGATGTCAGTTGTCTTTTTGTTTAAGATTTGTAGCGTTTCTTTTTTTTACTAGGCTAATGAAAGTAAATTAGCAGTCTATTTCCATGATGTTAACCTCCTGTGTTTTTACTCATGTATATTAACATTTTATTTTCCTATCAAATAAACAAAAACATGTAATATACAGTATTTATCACTATAGTAAGCAATTCCACAAAGTCAAAAAACTCTGTCGCAAATAAAATTCCTGCATACAAAATCTTTCATGTATGTGAATCTCTACTTTGTTAAGAAATAAAATGGATCAAGCTGAAATTATTTGTTATGCTTATGGCACCTTTCAATATTCATGTTGGTAAATGTAGAGCTGCTTATAATTACTTCACATACTTCCAGGTTGTTATATTCTATCATAATATATACTCAATTATTAGTTAGTAATTACTGTTTTTAATTATCTAACTATGAAAAAAGCTGTTCAATGAACGTACACATGAAAAATTAGCCCCCCCAATGTTGTCGTTATATAAAGTATCATTACAGTTAATCATAACGGGAAAGTAAGAGGACCTAAAACTTCTTAACTCACCAAGTTCTCCTCCTACGATAGAGAAGTCTTGCTCCAGTATGACAAACTTCTGGACCCGCTGGGCGTTGGAAGTTGCTTTGGCATTGATGCGCTCAATACCCTCCTGAATGGCTGTGTAGATCGCTGGCTCCTTATTGGCTATGATCTCTGACACCTTTGTCGCTTTGACGTCATTCTGCTTGCAGAAGTCCAAAGCCTCGGGGCTCAGCTCGTCTGTGGGCTCACCGTTCTCGTTTAGGACACACTGAGGAAACAGAAAAGCGTCATTGCTGTGTTTGTTTCATGTATTTAGGAGCGATGTGTGAAGGACCCGAGGTTGGTTTACTTTGAGCGTGATCAACATGGAGAGGAACTTGAGCCTGTCACCCAGCAGCATGGTGTTGCTGATGATGGGAACCTCGGCTTTCAGTGCGTCTTCAATAGGTACAGGAGGGATGTTCTCTCCACCCGCTGTGATGATCAGCTCTGTGAAATTGGACAGATTACTGTTAAAAGTGTCACTTGTTTGTCACTTTTCCATTATGAGTCAGCCTATGGTTTTAGAACAAGCATTGCAGAGTGTTATTTCCCTTGAGTATATACAGAATGGCAAATGTTACTTTTAACCCAGCAGTAAATAGATGTTCAGTTATCATCAACCCATAACTCCTAAGGCCAACTTTCTAATACTACAAATAATCTACTGCTGTACATCATGCTATGAGTCAGGCATTCATCTTCAATGAGTAAAATGAAAGAAGTCTTTTCAGAAAAACATTTCAATAGTAACCTTTTACCTTTGTCTTGTGCTTTGCACACAGTGACAAACACTTTCATAAAGGTATCAAGATACTTTATTGTCCCCAAAGGGACTGCAGTTACAATAAATTAAAAGGTACATAAAGAGAGAGCACATAAAACATGTAACAATTCCAAATATACATAAAAAGAACTTCCTACAGCAGTGATATATTGACAAAATTGCACGGCCCATTGGCACTTCCTAAAAAATAACACTGAGGGGTTGTAAGATGTTCAGTAAGAAAGCACAACAAAAGGAAGTGGAGCTCAGCCAAATTAGGCCAGACATGAATGACTTTTAATGCAGGATTGTTGATAACAAATGAATAACCACAAAAAGATACTACGTCCTTTCTGAATCATTTTTTCCTACTTAAAATGCTCCAAAATAATTAAAGTTGTGCATTTTTTCAATCTAAATAGTCCCAATTTAGATTTTTTTTCAAAAACTGCAGCTCACCCTTGATCCTTCCTGTGATGTAGAGGAATTCTTTCTGGTCGTGTCTCCCAAGATCTCCAGAGTGCAGCCAGCCGTCCTCATCAAGCGCCTCTGCAGTTTTGTCCGGCATGTTCAGGTAGCCCATGAAGATGTGTCGACCCCAGAAACAGATCTCTCCACTCTCTTCCATTTCGTGATTGACTAGTTTCGTTTTGCAGCCTGGGATTACCTTTCCACAGCTGGAAAGAAAAAATAGTCAACCACATGTTCATAAAGACTTTGCAGCCTGATTCAAAAGTTTAAACTACAATTAGACCCCTGATTTACATGAAAGTGCTACACAATTAGAAAATATTAGCTTACCATGACAAACAGTTCAAAAAGTTATGCATATAACAGATTACTCCTGCGATATCCTCTTTGTTGCTTTTGACATCTTAACAAATATAATTTTTGCTAGAAATCTATTAAAGAACATTCTAACAGCTATTACATCAAAATCTCTCGTCTTGAATGAAAAAATGAACCTATAGAGCGTTGCAAAACTGTTTAAGAAACAATGTATGGAAACAAATGGCAAGACTAACAAAGATAAGATGTTTGAAGAATGTGGACTATAACTCAGGCAGTTGTACTTGATTGGGAAGATATTTGGAACTCTACTTTGTTCGATTGCACCATGAGTACAAAACTGTGAAAATAATGTGTATACACAAAAACTAAAACCAATGTCCTTTTACAAAGAGCATATCAACAACAAAACATACATAGTGGTAGTGTTTGTAATGTGAATGAGCTGTTGAAGATTTAACATACTTCCTCATTCTTAATGCTAATATGTCTGTAATACTTTTTATACTTACTTACACGAGTGTAAGAATGGTACATGACTCCTACGAGCTTCATTAGGAGGGGATGATACTTTCAATCTAGTTGCACAACAATCTTTTTTCTTTAATTTTAGAGATGTTAAATGAGGTTGAAAATTTATTTTAATTGACTTTAATTGTCCAACTGATGCTGTGTTGAGTGTTTAATATTCATTGTCGTAATGAATACTAAACACTCAATACATATTCGGGGTATTATAACTCTACTCACCTCTCTGCCTCTCAGTACGTTTATGATATCATTGTGAATATTGGGTTTTGACTTGTCTCTTTGCTATGTGAGCATATGATGTATAATGAAACATTTACAAAGCATGGTCTCGCTATTGTTTCACATGCAGTGGTTGATTCCCTATACATTTTTCATTCTCAAACTTTGCCCCAACTCAGGCAACATCGTTTGGGGAAAAAAATGCATAACATATAAGGAATTTCACTTTTCAAAAGAAAATGAATTGAGAGGAAACGAACACGTCTATAGAGTATTGTGTAGTAAATCCATAACAAGAACATATTTTAAATACAGTTGACATGGCCATTAATGATTTGCTGCTGACCTTGTGATGCAGTATTGGTGGTTCAAGGAGAGGGTTTGTGGGCCAGTGCATTCACTCATGCCGTAGAGCTCCAACAAAGGGATGTTCAGGCTCAGGAAGAACTCCAAGGTATCTTTAGTGATGGGGGCAGCGCCTGTGAGGCAGAGTTTGCAGCGGTCTAAGCCCAGTGCAGCACGCACCTTTTTGAACACCAGAGCATTAGCCAACGTGAATCCCCACGGCACCAGATTCTCCCTGTAAAACAAATCATAGTGTATCAGCATTAATCAGTGATACTATAGCCTACTCTAAGAAACCAGTAAGAAAATAAAAGCAAAACAAGTCACGTGGCTCCCTCAGCACCAATTTCAACAAATTGAGAGAAAACTCTGATATTTGACATGCAATTTTTGTCGATGTCTGCTGTTTCTTCCTGGTGCATGACAAAATATATACAGAACAATGATGTAACCTCAACTTTACTTTATGTTTTGGCCTCACTTGCCCGTTTTAGTGTGCTCATTTGCTGCCTTGGTGAGCAGGGTAAACAATTAACTATTCATTAAAAGAATCATTTACGCTTTGTACTGACCTTCTTACTGTTTTATCTGTCAGTTAAATTGATCTTTTGTTGAGCAGAAGGGGCAGGACTTCAATCCTTCAGCTCCACCAGCGCAGACTCTGGCTTTATATTCATTTGACTTGCAATTTAATTTTCTACCATGACCCATTTTCCATATTTTAAAATGGAGTAGATTAGCGCTTTTGACCAATACTGCAGCCAGTCAGCAGGGGGGACTCTAATTATTTTGGCTTCACTCCTTAAGTGATGCTGTCCATGCTTTAGACAGTCCATGGTCAGCACCTGTCGCAGGGGTATTTAGGTTTCACTTCTGTGCAACCGGAGGAGGTGGAGAGGCGTTGTTCCTTGTCCATTTAGAGAATGGTTGTATCAAAGAAGTTTTTCTTAGCGCATTTAACATAGCCGTAGAATGGTTGTTTGTTCAATTATCCCAAACAAATTATGAATGCTTTTTTGGAATGAAACTCTTGAAATATTCACTTCAAAACCCTATGATGGCATCCTTGTGGATTAGATTGTAGATGTGATTGGGCTTAAAGTACGCCAGTGTCTTGGGAAGTCTTGTCTGAGGCTCGATTGTGTTCCAGTGAGTATATAAGTGAGTTTAACGTCTTCATACAGAGGTTTTTAAGGTGCTTTTTTCATGAAAGTATTTATGTATAATATCAACACTGGATAGGTATTGTTATAAAAAATTAAACATGTTGTCTCACCCATTCATTATGCTGTAGTTGTACTGCAGGCCTATGGATTTGGCCCAACTTGCCACATTCCTCCTCATTGGGGATGCTTTGGCCCCCACAGCTTTCATCTTCTCCTGCATCTTCTCCCACACACGAGGAACCCCAAGGAAACAAGTTGGACGAACCTCTTTCATCGTGTTTACTAAGGAGCCCTGGAAACATGACAGGGGATTATGGAAAATAAAAGAAACTTTTGTTACAAATTCCACGCTTGCCCAATTGCTTTTTGTTCTCTGTTTTAATTTGTAAAGCACTGTGTAATGTGAGTTTAGAAAAGTTCTCTTAAAAATAAAGATGATTAATTTTCTTCTTCTTTTTATTATTAATATTATTATCAGTAGTAGTAGTAGTAGTAGATGTAGTATAAAACAGAAACAGCCTTACTTTGAGGGCATCTGGGTCTGCAAAGTAGGTAGTGGTGGCGAAGCTAATAGCCAGCCAAATGTCAATTATCTGGGCGGCCACATGGCTGAGTGGCAGGTAACTGATCGTTACTTCTTCAGCGTAGTTTATATCAAATGTGACAGCTGCTTGATTGCTTGTCCATGTCAGCTGCATTAAAGAAAGAGTGAGAGGAGAAATGGCAAATTGTGAAGATAATTGTAATCCGTAGTCCTTAGAGACAACAATCTAAAGTAAATAATGTGTCTTATCAATAAAGCAAATGTGAGTGTGTGGTTTGGATCACTTACATTGTCATGGCTCAACATGACTGCTTTAGGGTTGCCAGTGGTTCCAGAGGTAAAGATGAGAGAGCAGCACTCGTTTGGCTTCAGACTTTTAATTATATCATCCAGTTTCTTATCTGGCTCATCCTCTCCCAGCTTCATAAACTCTTCCCACTACAGAAATACAGAAATTGTGTTAAAAAGAAAAACTGTAACTGTATGATCACAAACAGTCTACTAACCGATGTGGCTAATCTGCTCAATCAATGTGTTTGCTGAGTGAACGTACTGTATACAGGAATGGTGCCTTCTGCTGTGGCTCGCCTTTATACATGACAATAGCTTTCAGGTGAGGCAGTTGATCTTTAACCTGTCAGGAAATACACATTAAATCAAGTCATGGTAGCTGAGATTTTTGTGAATAATGTTATGACAGACACATTCAGGGCCAGTGCTGCAAAGCTCCTGACCTGCAGGATTTTATCGAGCTGTTTCTGGTTTTCCACGACCAGGATGTTGGCCTCACAGCTGGCAGCCACATAGTGACAAGCCTCTGGGGAGTTGGTGGTGTAAATTCCAGATGTCAGGCCCCTGCAGGACAAATCACAAAGAGTGGACAAAAGCTTATTGAGTGCATAGTGTGAAGGTTTTATTTCAAAAATGCAAATAACTACACACAATGTATTCCTTCCATTTGTCTGTTTGTCAGCAAGATTATGGAAAAACTATTCCCCCATTTTCAGGAAACTCATTTGAAGTTTGTCACAGTGCTGCATTTAATTTTGAGTTGTATTAAACTATAACACAATTTGGGCTGGTGTGAGAACGCCGCATTATGTTCTCCGGAGAATTCACCTCGAGCCAATAGGAAGGTTGGTGACGTTTCTATACTTTTACTGCTGCAAGGTGCATAGACTGTATGCATGCGTCCACTATGATCTCTGTGCACGTAATTAAACGGCTGCGTATTCAAGGCTGTTTCTGCAGTGTGCTGAACCCCAGGGCAGCATTTTCAGGCATTAAAAATAGTAATACAGAAATAATAAATATTTTTACTGACAGTTTTGTTTGAGTTTGTTGGTCATATAGAGACATCATTGTTATTTAGTCTCTTTCATAACAATCTAAAAACTCCTCACAGGAGCTTTAAGTATGGAACCCTATAAGTGTTTAGTTGCTTTCAAATGTGTCTCTAAACTCTCATCTTAGAAGTGTACAACAAAAGGGATTTACCTTTGCCTGATTAAAATAGGCTGTATTTATAGTAAGAACAGAAGACACAGAAATGCAACAGATTTGAATACAACTGAAATGTGGTCATGAAAAACAACGTTATTTGTTTTTCACATAATCATAAAAAGCATTTTATCCTTCAAAAAAAGTCTTTAAAAACCAAAAAGTGACAGTTTAAAACAACCTAAGAGCTAAATTAGTTTCCTGTCTCAATACAATTTTAAATGTTTTAATCCTTGTACATATTTGAATAGAACTACACAAGTTCACTGTCAATTCTATTTTTTGCTGGACATTTTGACAATCCTAATATACTGTTTGGCTTTGTCCACAGTTAGATAGAGAGCAAAGAAGAATGGTCAAATCAAACTCCCCCATCAGGCTTCTTGAGACCGCCCAAACAAGTGTGGGCAGAGACACAGAGAGGCACTGTGAGATAAGCATGGGCAGATGTATGTGTCAGTATCAGGTGAAACGAGGCTGAGGCATCTCAAGTAATCTCAAGAAAGAGGAATGTCAAATAGTCTGAGCTGGATCAGATCCTTGAATGTGGTCTTACCCGGCCAAGATGCCAGCGATGTCTGCAATGAACCACTCAGGGGAGTTGAAACCCAAAATCCCTACACCATGGTATCGCTTCAAGCCCAACTGCAAAAAAAAAGAAAAGATGTTGTTATTTTTTAGAGAACATTTATCTTTAATGACACAACAGCAGAGTGACTCGGTTACTATTGACCTACATCTTGCCTCAAAAGTCACTCCAGCTCATGAGACATAAAAATGCCTGTGAAACAGGAGACGTAACACAAGCTGTGAATTTCACGCACCCAAGTGTTAGTTTACAGCAGCAAAGGTGGTTTACAGAGAGAGGGAACATACTGAGCTACTGTTTACAAACCGGGTCTCAGAAACACAGCAAGTTTTTTATTAATAGTTGACTAGTTTGACTCTTTTATGGCAAAATAGAAGATGTGTTTTTACAGGCTGAAAGGGGAGATTTATGCTGAAGTCCAGATAGAAAAAACCCCCAAAAGGCCTTAAAGCAAGTTAAAAGTAAAGCTTGCTTGAATCTGGAAAACTATCATTTAGAAAGACAGATTAAATATGTGCTGATACTTTGGTATTGAAATATAAAATAAGATTACCTTGTAATTTTTACAAACTTTTTGTAATGATTAAAACTGCCTCTGTGTTAGAGTTCAGCAGATATATATAATTATCAATACATAGCTTACATTCAGTAAAACTGAAGGACTGCAGTGTGAAGAAAAGGCAATAATTCCTACAATACAGTACGAAAAGACACATTTAAATTGCAGCTTAAAGCCTGCTGTAATATTAAAGTCAATGTTTGATTCAAATTCCAATGTGCTGCAGTCAACATACCATATCATTGCCTAAATATTCCCTGATTGCACTAAAGTAATAGTATAGTTTCTGGTCAATGAATGCAAAAAAAAAAAGTCTTGAAACACAAACCTTGATGAAACTTTTTGCTGCTGCCCGGCACTGGTCATAGTACTGCTTCCATGTCACCTTCACCCATTGACCCTCTTTTTTGAAAGCGTAGGCTGGATGGTCCCCGTACGTATCCACTGTCTTCTTGAACATCTGATGGATGGTGATGGGAGTCTCCGAGCCAGGTCCAGAGGCCTCTAGCCTCAGCTTGACCCCCTTCTCTCTGCTGGTGCTCCATAGCTCATCAGCTGGAGCCAGATCTGCTTCCCCAAGAAATGGCCACAGAGGATCTTTAGGGGTCTTTGTTGGACAACAGGGGCATCCATAACCTGCCATTTAAAGAAAATCCAAAAACACCTGCACTACACTAAGGCACAGCGTGGCTTTCCCTTTAGAAGAAGAGTCTGGTGTAAGAGAGGACTGCAGACATCTCTTGACTATGACCCAGTAAGCTCTGCGTTCTCAGTTGATTTGCAGGTTGTGCATGATGAGGGGAAGGCTATGCCGATACCTGAGACTAAACAGGAAGCAATAGAAATGCTATGTCTACCTACCAATCTGGTTTAGCTAGAAAAAGGGGAATAGGTTGGATACGAAACAGCAGAGTTGGGTTACTGGATTAAAAGCATGAAAGAACACAAACAATAATGCTGCATTTGTTCTCCAGTTATTCACAATGTCCTGCCTTTTAACATTTTCTTTATCTTCTCTTCTCATCTTCTCCTCTCTCTGAAAGACTAACATGTAACTCCAGAACAGCACAAACCATTTTTTCTTTTTCCATCCTTCTGCTTTAATTGGTGTTTGCTTAGATATTTAAAAAGTTCTGTTTAATTTTGCTGTCAGTGTCGAACAAAACTGCCATAAGCTCTCAACACTTAAAGCCCTCGAGCGTTTATCTTTTGTTACAGCTCTCTGCCCTCAGGTGCATTCTTCTCTTCACAGCGCCACTTGTGACTGTAACTACTTACCTCAAAGGACTAATGAATTTGATAATATTATAACGTCATCCTGCTTTTATAACAACTTCACAGAAAGGTCAAGACTGTCCGTGAGGCACAAGGCCTCAGATCTTGGTGCATCATTTGATACAGAGAATCGTTTGATTTCTACAAAACAGTCTCTTTACTGCATCTGCCTGCATCACCTTGAGGCTTTTCAGCTGCATTCTTTGACTTGGTTACGATCGTTTTTGTGCATAACCTGTTAACCACCTTTCTCTCCTCAGTATTATTATTGTTATTATTTTGACAGGGACAGTGTACAGCCACTTAGCCGTACCAGAGTTAGTGATGAGCTAATGTGTAGCGTTGTTTTGCATTGGTATGTGCCTCTCTGTTTACATTTTTGGATTTGTTCTTCTATTGATTCTAGTTGAAGGAGCTGAATGTTTTGCAGCACTTTGAGTCCAAGACAAACAATAAAGTGAATCGCATCGTATTTTATCGTAATCTACACAACAATACATAACCACTATAGTGTGGAATTAAATTCATCCACAGTGAAGTACACACATGATATTAAATCATGAATAGGCTAAGAGCATTACACAATAAAAACTACACAATACATAACTGCTATATACAGCAGCACCAAGTCCCTCCACACTGGCATCAACCATACAATATTAATCCATTGATATGCTACTAAAACAGCTGTAACGTCAAATATCTCCAAAGCAAGCGCAACACATCAACAATACCATAATAAACACCAATACACTTCAACATTATCAAACAGAGCTCATGAAACTTCCTCTGTTAAAGTGTGATGAGTACATGATCGAGTTGATTCATATTCCCTACTTTATTTTCCGAGGTATCTTATCCAGGACACTTTGTGTTTTGCGCGACACACTGACATATTTCCCCACAAAAGGCAGATTTCTTTGAGAGCCCTTTAGACTTTAAGAATTAAATGTCAAAAACAATGTGCCCCGTAAATGTCATAACATTTGTTTGTCTGAACAAGCCAGAGATTGTTCTCAGATTCCTGTTCAAGGATAGAAAGATAAGGCAGTGTTGTTGTTGTTCTGTGTTGATGTATTTTATCACGGGATTTTCCTGGCCTAAATGATTACATCTGTTGGCGTCAGTTTGAGGTTAAACCATCTTCAGCTTCTCCAGAATGTTGCTGTAGACGTTGTGAGTGCAGATGATATCACACTAGGGCTGTTTGTCAATAAGTACCTAATGTTTCTAGAAGCACAGAGTGGAGACGAATGTATTAAAATAGTCTCTCTAACTTATTCTTAATGGGGAAATATCTCCAAAGTGACTCTTTTGTACTACCATTCTACAATTCACTTAGCAGACGCTTTTATCCAAAGCGACGTACATCAGAGAGTAAGTACAACACAAGCCAGGATCTAGAAAAAAGGGAACTATGTCAGTAAGAGCAAACGATCAGCTTTGAGTCCCGATTGGACACACAGGTGCTGACAGGCATTGCATGGAGGCAAAGCACGACATTGACGGCAGTTCTTGAGAGCACAAACACAATCAAGTCGGAAATGTAAAGGAAGCTTGCTAAAGTGGAAAAACTTGACACAAAATGCAAGAATGAATAGTACCTTAAATATGTGCTCCACACTCAATTTAAATGACTGCTTTCACTATTCACATTTAGATGGTCTTTCGTAATATTTGTAATTTTTATACAAGTGTGTAGATTAAATAAACAGGGAAAGTCTCGTGTAAACTTTAGATTTGGTGTATGGATGCTAATACAGCTGCTTTAGACCTTTAAGAAGGGAATGAATGGGGTGCATGGTAGCCTAGCAGGTATCTCAGATGTCCCATGTACTATGTCCTATAAATAAAGGCATACATAAACAAAAAACAAACCTGAAGCAAAGAAGTAAATGGCTGTATTGTCCATTTAAAATCCTTATCTTAAAGGCTGCATAGGCCTATTTTCTTTCATCACACAATCAGATTAAAATGTATACATTGCCAGACTGTTCCATTTGAATTGTTTACAGAGGTTTTGAAGAGCTAAAACACTGCAGAATTTCAAATTCAGAAAAAGTTAGAATTTTGAGGGGAAACTTTTTTCATGTCTCTTAGATTTCACAATGAATGAGATTTAGTAATGCATGAGGACCTGGGAAGGTATTGCTCCTCGCAACTTTGTTGTAGTTTTTCAAACCACATACACTCAGATCATTACCTGAAAGTCCCTCCGCAGCTCCATTCTCATGAGTTCCAGAGTTACTGGGAGGATGAGACTCCTTGTTCTCTGAGTCTGACGCTGCACTGAGCTCCACACATGGGACATTTCCATTGAGGATGCAAGAGTCCTTTGAGGAGTTTTTGGTAAGGACCCTTTGAAAAGCCATTAAGAAAGGAGAACAGAAAATCCAATGATGGAAAATATATCTTAAAATCAATTGGTCCTGATTGTGTATAAGAACATAACAACATTGAAAATAGGCAAGCTTTGCATACCTCTCAGGATTACCATTCATGACTGCCACGCCATTGCTTTTCATTGAATCTTCTTTGACACTCATTATGTCTTTGGAAAAACAGAGGAACATAGATTGGATGTGAAGTCAAACTAGCGGATGTCCTTTCAATGATCTATTATGAAACCAATTATTTAAAGCCATAGCTACTAGTAAACAAACACACACACACACACACCAGTGGTCCAAATGTCAAAACATTTAATACTGTGCCAGAAAGAATTGGGACAGCTGCATGCTTTTACTCGTGATGATCATCTCAAAATGTAAGAACTAGTGAGACAAATAATCTCACATAGAGGCAGAAAGTGAGCACAGAAATCGTCTGTCGTCGATCACTCTCTGGTTTGAATAAGCAAAAAAAAAATAGACATGGGTCAAGATTTTCACTCTTGTCCTGGAGAGAGAGAAATAATGACATCTAGTGTGAATAATTTGCAACAGTTATTATTCAGATGCTAAGACTTATTAATCGCACGTTGTGATTTCATGCTCAAAAGCAACCACAAATTATTCATCATCTGGACAAATACGTAGAGAAAATAATGGCATATTCATCAACACTTAACATGAGTGATTTGTAAAAACAAAATAAAGATAAAAAAGATCCGTCTTATATTCTTTAGGTTTTTAATTTAACCCCAGTTCATACATCTTACTAAACTACAGTGAAGTAACCTCAAGATGTAACCAAAAGACCTTCACTCTGGATTATGTAATGATTCATTTAGTTACCCAAACTTCACACAAATACATTTAAGCCTCATTAAAGACTTAGATTTAATCAAAGAACTAGTTACCTTTGAAATAAACGCGTAGAAGTCCAATCCTCTGGTAAAGATGATGATTGAAAAACACCTACAGTCCCATAGAGAAGATCCACAGTGGTTACAGATGTGTAGCGTCAGTGTGTTTAGATGAATTCCATCCGAAGACAACTCACACCTGCAGCTGTTTGTTTAACTACAGGAGGGCTTACACAAAGACCCCGTCCCTGTTGACCAAACATTCAAATGGAAATCAAACGCACATCAAACCGGGGCTATATACGTCCCTCTAAAACTGTGTTTGTCTCACACATATTTACCTAACACCCCTGGAGGTTGTTGACTTCTGTCAACATGTCAAGAGCTTCAAAACTTTCCAGGAAGATGGATTTGTCTGGCTCTTAACAGATTCAACATTGACATTCATTTATTGTGTATGGCCACTAAAAAACAGCCAAATAAATAGCTTTAAATTGTCAGAAAAGAAACGTTTTCTTTGTTCAAATCAAAATACTAGACATGCATTCCTCTCATTAAAGGAATCCACAGACATCCTGTGCAAAACTTCTACACCACAAACACTTTTCTTTAAGAATAATAAAAAAAACATGCTGAAATGATAGCTACCTGCTCTGTGCTGCTGTTTGGCATGTACTTGACAGCTCCAGTCAAGTGCTCGTCTGCAGCCCCCGTTAGAAGATTTCAGCCTGTAGGGGGTTTTATGAGTACATACTGACGTCCCCTCTGACACTCAAACAGTCTGCAGCCACTCATATAAATGATATGATTATTATATTTAACAGGATAAAGACAGAAAGATCCTATGAAGGTTGAGTAGGTTTTATTGATACATTTATTTGCACATTAGATTATGAAGACAGAAATCATCATATATGCAAGACGGCCTGTCAGAGAGATAATGATAACACCAGATAAGTTCTCGCCGGTTCATGAGGATGACACTTTGACCCATAAAATAAGTTACTCAATAGTTAGACCAAAATTGTGCAACTTTGACTTTTCAACCAGATTTACACATCAGGAAACACGTGATAACACATCGCTTCAACAAATGAAATATATTGATATTGTGTTGGGATATAGAATCTCAAAAGCTCTTTAAGTTTTTGTGTTCTTGATCCAAATCAAAGTATTTACAGTGACATAAAGTGCAGAAGGAGGCTTATTTTAGTGGGGGTTATTTTGCAGGTTCACCTCATGAAAGCAGTTTTAAATGAGCAAAAATCAAACATATTCTTTCGATGCATGATTAATAACACAGGATTTTTTTTTCCGCGGAGCTGCACACATCGTTCGTTTTTTTAGGTAAATACAGGAGAAAGTTCAAATCCCCCCCCTCCTGTCCTCAAATAGCACACAGTTACCTTCCTCACAGACACCCTGGCCACTGAATCATACCACCCAGTCACACCACGTCTGTCCTGACTCCGACCTGCACTTCAACTCCGCAGGGGGTGGTGAATGATTACAGAGGAGATCCGTCAGTGCCATTAATGCTTAAAAAAATATTAGAAGGACTTGTAAATATATAATGTGCCTTAAAACGGGGTTCCCAGTGCAAACATTATAGCACTATCTGAAAAAAGTTCTGCTTTTTAACTTGAGAAAAACAGCTTTATATGGAGAAGATCAGAATAAAAAAAAGTCTATTTAGAAAGAAAACACATGTTCAGATTTTCTACTGCGTAACATTAAGAAGCAGAAGAGTCCAGACCACAATAATTATTCAAGCCTTGAACTCGTGTTTCCTTTGGGTCTTGAACGTTTGACCTTTATCACCAACAGCACATCCAGATTAGGTCGACTAGTTGAAGAAATGTGAAAGCCAGAGTTGTTGTTTTTTTCCACTAAGACTTGTGCAACCAATGGGGTTGTGATAACAGCGGTCTATGCTTGCAAAAGCAGAGTTAAAGCTGTGTTAGATATTCAGTTATCAGGAAACATTTCTGAGAATGTGTGTACTTCATGAAGACAACTTCAAGTGATTGCTCCAAAGGTAAAACACTGATATATGAGATGCTCATTTTGCATTGACCCTAAAATGAGGATACAGTCCAAAATACTGATTAAACCGAAATGTATTCTAAAATATTTCGCAATTGGAAATCGTTATATATAATGTGCTGATAAAAAAAAAACAGGTTGAATTTTCAGTCTTCAATATAGGATTGTTTTTGTTTATTGTAATAATCAGGGGTATCAAACATAATGTCTTTACATTTGTTTTTACATTTCGATCAACGTATTTACTCGTCACATTATGATCACTGAAGTGAGCATCGGCACAAGAAACGGGATTACGTTCTCAATCCTAAAAAAATGTCAAGATTGCTGGATTAAAAAGATAAATGAGCAGGGAAAAAGACAGAAGACATATCAACGGATATGTGTGTGTATATTATCCAGGTGGCCATGTCATCTGTCTGCCTCCCAGGATGTGAAGGTGAAGATGGTAGACAGACTGAGCTCCGTGTTTCCCATCGTTGATCACTGTGCAGAGGACAGAAAAAAAGAGAACTCAATGTGCAAGTAGACAGACGATCTGTATTTCCACATAAATCTCAACAGCATAGACACGTCACCTGTATCTACAAAATTAAATAACTTACCCACTCTGTACCCTTCACTTAGAGATTCTTGCTTTGCCACATTTTTGGCGACGATCAACAAATGCCCCAAGAGCTGAAATTGACACACACACACAAAAAGATGATATGTTAGCTGGTGACGAATTGTTTGAAAAGTCAAAAGCTGCTACACTTTAATATTTGATTTAGTCTGTGTTCATGAATGAAAATAACAATACAAAACTCAAGACACTTGAGCTTATAAAGACAAACTCAAATATAATTCAATCCCTTAAAAAAAAGAGTGCAAAATCAGCTGCGTGGGGGTTTAAGTCCTAACTAGTGATGAAGTTGTTGAAGGGAGATTCTTCATTTGTACTCTGCAGAGTGTAACATGTCCTGAAGGCTGCACTCTGAGACAGTGACGGCAAACAGACTTTCTGCACACAACAGCCAGTCCTGCAGGGGTCTGAACCTTGCGGGTAAGCTGGGAGGAGTTTACATGTCCCAGCAGTGTTTGTTTGAGGATTTTTAAGTTTGCAGGTCCACATTACAATATGATCGCCTGAAGTACGTTGACATACCTGTCCACATACTGTACGTTTGTCTACGTCTGGTCTGGGGCTATGTTCTCTGTGGTTTGAGCTAGGTCCCTTAGAGTTAGGAAACAATTGTAGGAATTAGCGGGAATTAACTAGGGAAAAGTCAACACAGCTTAAATTCATTACATTTTGGACGATGGTGTGACTGCAACAGTTGAAGAAAACCCTTTACTGATCATTAAAAATGAGTCTTTCCAGGGTTTGATGTGAGGACTGCGCCTGTCCTGCACAGAGTACTGAGATGGACCCCAGCAAGGGTTAGGATGATTCTTTATTTACACAGGGTCATTATATTATTTATGGTTACATTATTTAAGAAAATGTGTCACTTCTAAGGACTATCACAAAAAAAAAAAGGCATGTCCTAAATGTAGCACAATAGTATTTTTTATACAAAATAATATTTTACCAGTTAAATCGTCAAGTTTTCACATGTTCCCATGGTTTACCCTGATAAACACCTTTAAACCGTATTGTCCAAGTGTCAAACACCAAAGTCTAATTCTACAAACCAGCATGTAGCTGAATCAAACTCCTGCATCCCGTTAAAAAAAAAACGAAAACGGAAAAACAAAGCAGACGATCTTCTCCGTACTGCTGAGGCTGTTTTAACATCTGATTGAGGCAAATGTGTTATTTTTTTACAAGATCAATGGCATTTCTATTGAATGCAAAAAAATGGATGGACAAACTTACTTCAGCATCATCATCTTTGGCCTCACTTATTCTGGGAATAGGGACCTTAGGAATAACCAGGAAATGAACAGGGGCCTGTGGGCTGATGTCTCTGAATGCCAAACACTGACACACACACACACAAAAACATAATTTACAGATGAACGAGGGTTGAATTGGACAACTTTACTCTGAATGTCTTTATCTATATCTCAACACGTTTGTGTTCATTCTGAGTCCCAAATGAGATAACCCCCCAACATGTTTTGAAGACGCTTGTTTACCTTCTCATCTTCATAAATGATATCAGCAGGGATGCTTTTGTCAATCACTTTGGAGAAGATGGTCGGAGCTGGGGAGCCATATTTCTTGCTGGCCTCCTCTGCCAGCCTCACCTCGTCCCTTCCGGTGCACAGCTGTCTCTGCGGGTCAAAAGGTCAAACACATGGATGACACTGAGGTCAATAACAGCCCGGGACTTGATGGCAACAACATATTAAAACAACTTTCCGAGGGGCACAATGAGCCAAACCTCTTGGTGGTGGGACACAGGCACACCAGGTTTCCCAAAGCAGCCACCACCAAGGCTGGTAGGAAACTTGTTGTCAAATTGGTCAGCTGCAGTAATCGCAAATAAAATGTTTATGAGAATGAGATGGTTTATTTTAAGATACCTCGGCTCGACAAACATGGTGTATACGGCTGAGGTGAGCAACTCTGGTCCCGATGAAGTGCGTCCGCAATATGTGACGAAAATGCATACCGAGTAGCAAGCGTACTAGTTATTATCAACCATAATAAACCAAGTCTAATGTCACAAACACAAGCTGGGGTCACAGATGCGAAAACTCTGCACTGTGTGTTAATGTTGCCTTCAATAACCTCCGTTTTTTTTTTTTAATTAAAGATGCCACTCTTGAATTATGCATACAACATGACGTGTCCTGTAATCTTCAGAGAAAGAAGACACCACTGAGATAAATGAAGTCGTTGATGTATCAGAGAAAATGTAAATTGTGTTTTTCGTTTACAATGTTGATAACACGCGCAAAAGTCAAACTGAACCATGTTGCAAACTGAAATATACACGGAAATACTGGTCATAGCTTTAACTTTGCTACCCTTCACATGTACTATGTGACGTTATTGTTCATCGTCTTTGAATTTTACAAACGACAGTCCACGTCTAAGCTCATTAAGTCTAGTTGGCGTCCATGAAGCCCACATTTACGACGTTTAAAATTGTGGTCCAAAGGCGTCATTCAGGGTCTCTTCAAGAGCCGCAACGTTCTCCGATGCTAATAATTTATTCCAGCATTAGCGTTAAGAAAATCATGTATAGTGGCTTTAAACTTAAATAAAATAGCGTTTTTTTTTTTTTTTTTTTTTTTGTAAATCAGTTCTAAACATAATTACAGATTTTTTTGACGACAAATATAATGCGTTTCCGTATATATATATATATATATATATTATCTTGCAACAGGGGGCGCTGTCGTGAAAGCCTTCTAGCTCATATGTCAGCGGAAATTAAAGCACAACTTTTGAAGTCACACAGAAAGAAACATGGCGGCCTGCACACGACTGCCCTTGCTGTTCCCAAAGAGCTTGCCTGCTTTTAGAAACAAGAAGCTCGTCCACACGGAAGCAGCGGTCAGTGAGGCAGCCTACCCCGCGAACGTCGCTTCTCTCACGGCTAAAAGCAAATCTGCGCGCCGGCGACAGGTCGAGGAACAAGTGAAGAAGATCACTGCCTCCACAGTGCAGGAGAAACTCTCCCTCCTCACTCGTATCCAGCACAAGAAATTTGTCATTCACCCTCAGACTTTTGCACGGAACGCAGACAAATGGTACCAGCACTTCACCAAAACCGCGTTTGTCCCGGGACTGCCCGACAGGTTTACCCTGACCCCGGAGGAGACTGGCGGGGAGGACAGCTCGGGGTCAGCCGCAGGTCAAACCTCGGTGCCGGGGATTGGAGATGATGTGTTCGCAGACATCCGCACCTTGGTGACCCGGGTGATTTTACAGGAGCACTGGCACTTGAAGAAGCGCAGACCTTTCCTGTACAGAGAGCAGGAGCAGCTGGTCGGACCCGTCCTGAGAAGCCTTGCGAGTGGACTCACCTACAGCCTGGTCAAATACAACCCCCTGTTACTCCTCTGCAGTCTGGGTATGCATGATTTCTATGACAGCTGATCAGTGGAGCTGCCTAATTTCCTTGGTTCCCCTCACACTTTCCTTACTACCTTTTGTTAAACTACATTTGAAGTAGTATTGAAATTGGTGCAGCAGTCAAACTTTTATTTATTTGTCACATGCTGAGACTTTCTGTGCTCTCCTTCTCTATCAGATATTGATCCAAAGGTACACTTTTACTGGAGGAGAGGAGAGAGAATCATACCTAAAGGGCACAGAAAAGGCCGATTAGAGCCAACCAGGTTCCAAATTGATGACCAACCAAACAGTCAGATTAGGATTACTCAGCAGCTTCCACAGGTATGTGGCTTGTTTCAATTAAAAAAAGAAAAGACACCCAAGGATGTACATTTTTTTTTTAAATACACGTGACAGTCTTTCACATGACTGAATATATAAGTGATGGTTTCAGTTAAATGTAATATGTTTTTGTTTAATTCTTATCACCTTTTTATTAATTCTCTTAGTTTGTCCCACTGGAGGCGTCTTATACGGCTGAAGTTCCAGAGATCACATTAGCTCCCAACGTGATGCCTCTGTTCAGGAGACAGTACGACAACAATATATTTACAGGTAACACAACTACAGGCAACGTATTGAATCGTCTTGGTCTTATTTCAACCTGTTACCACACCATCAGAGTTTAAATGAAAGTGAATGATTCTGGTGTTTACAGTAATCACTTTATGTAATCCCATATTTTCATGTGTTCTCTTGTCAATATAAAACACCGTCCTCTTGATTTGTTAACAGGTTCCAAGCTGCCAGATCCGGCATGCTACGGTCACACCCAGTTCCACCTGGTACCAGACCGGTACCACAGAGACCGGATGGCGAGACAGAAGCAGTCTGATCAGGTGGAGGTCTTTCTCAGAGCCAATGGACTCGCCAGCCTCTTTGCCTGGACCGGAGCGCAGGCCATGTACCAGGGTGAGATACCAACACACACATTTGATGAATCTCTGACTAAAGAAGAGCCTAATACAATTCAAATAAGTAATTAATATTTTTTGGAATAAAGTAGTATCAGATTTAAGTTGTTTCTCTAAACAGAGGGCAGAATCCCAACTCTGCCGTCTATATCTTTAAAATACGAGTTGAAATGCAACTTCAGCACATGAAGACTCTGATTAAATAATCACAAAGTGAGATACAAGTTTTAACTTTACATGAAAAAAACATGGATATTCTCTTTGATTTGTATTGTTAATTTCTGATTAAAACTCACTAATATACAATAAATAAATAAATCCAGATAATCTGTGTGATTTAAATTGCAAGAAAAAAGGAAATTCTGTTGCAGTAAAGTTACAAATGAACCGGACAAAAACTTAAAAGATAGTGTTGATCTCCTCGTTTCTCTGACCGAGCTGCAGTGTAGCAGAACAGTGAAGTGTCAGGTCGTGTCCTATTATCAAATTAAGGTGTGTATGTCCACATAGTTTAAAGTCATCCTTCCCTCTCGCCTGCTGTAGGTTTCTGGAACAACGAGGACGTCACCAGGCCCTTTGTGTCGCAGGCTGTGATCACCGATGGACAGTTCTTCTCCTTCTTCTGCTACCAGCTGAACACATTGGCCCTCTCTGTGGAGGCCGACGCTAACAACCCCAGGAAAAACCTTCTGTGGGGCACCGAGAGCCTGCGACTGTATGAGAGCGTGCAGGATGGAGAGGTGGTGGGACTGAACGACGGCGTCATAAAGCTTCTGATTCAGTTCCTGATGAATCAGCCGTAGGCTTTATCAGATTTCTTGTCTTTTCTTCTTCTTGCCTTCGAGTCGGGTGTTCTCCAAGGAGTTTACAGACGCTAGAAATAAAAGAAAGGAGTTTTTGAAGGAGAAGCTGTCAAAATGTAAAGTATGTAATGTTCATAAAAGCGGTTCGATCTGTGTTAAGCAAATGTACGACTGAACAGTGAGCCAGAAAATAGTGCTGACATATGCTTACAGTGCAGATTATAATAATGCATAAATAAAATAATGCTTTTCAAATAAAGAATGTGTTTCATTGTTATTCTTTAAAACTGAACAACAGGTGCGCTGATGGCCTATCAGAGATATTCACTGCTGTCCAAATTTCAATCACCTTTTTTTTTTTTTTAACTACAGAGACCCTTCCCTAACAACTTGTTCTGTGAATGCTGTGTGCATGAAATTTGAATATTCGACATACAGTATAATAACAGCACATGGAAATAGTGTGTCACGGGATGTGACACAGTACTTCCATGTGCCAGTGTTGCCTAAGCTGTTAGCCTGAAGCTAATATCAGGAGCAGACTACGCAGGTCTTGTCGTATCAGACATTGTCTTACTCACCCAGATGTATGTGAATTAAATCATTTGATGCACAACTGCATTTGCCTTTGACTTGACATAAAGATGGATGTTGAATGTCTCCCTCTATTGGTAGCATAAAAGTGAAGCCAAAAGACCTAACCACTGACTGTATATATAGTATCTTTTTACACAGTAAACAGTGCTGACATTTTACGCATTGGAGTCACAAGTCTGCACAGGAGGGATCGGCTAGGGGAGCCTTATTGAGGTTTCCCTCAGAGATGAACTTCGCCTCTTTAAGACTTCAGACTGTTTTGGACTAATGTCCGACCTTTTTTTTTATTTGGAATTTTTGGCATGTTATCATTATGATCCTCCTGAATGTAATTCCCTCCCATCATGTGGAGTAACCTGACCACACCTGATGCACGAGCAGCTGCACTCTAAAGATGACACCAATGTCGAGCACATCACCTGCAGGCCGCAGCTACAGTCCCAGGCTGGCTCAATAGGCACTAAAAGCGGTTGCCTAGGGTTCAGTAGGTGTGCTGCCTCATATGCTTCTCTTCTGCTTGACTCCCCTTCTCTGTCTCGCTCAATGACTTGTGTCAAATGAGTGATCTTTGTCCATCTGTCCAAATTAAGGGGTAAGGGTGAGACAAACAGGGATCATTTGAGACCAGACTCATTCAGTTCAGTTCTGTATTGTCAACGCAGGCTGTGTCCTTCTTAGGACAGGTACATGGAAGGATCCTACTGTAGGCTACCTCCGAAATGAGGCACAGCTGTGGGATTTTTCATATCTTTGTTTCGGGCTGCAAAAGGTTTGATCATTTTTTTCCAAACATGCATTCTCCCTTTCAAAAGTGAGTCCTGTGTCTGGTCGTCTTTATCAGTGTAAACAAAAACCTCCTCAAAATGTGTTGAACACAGTAGATGGTCATCACAAGCATTTAATAAAAAAAAGCAGAATGACAGTGAGGGATGTACATTTAATTTACTAGTTTACAGTGGCACATAGTTAAAGGAAATGCAAGTTGACAAAGACTCAGTTGAAATCATGATACAGACAATGTGATGATTTTTATGACCACCATTACACATGTACATGACTAAAACACACACAAGCATCTGCATATATGATAACATATCTTTTTACGTGTTATTAAGATACTACAGATATTCAGTATGTTAACCACACATTACAGCAAGACCGAATAAATGGAAAGTGACCAAGCTGTTTAAAGGACAGTAAAATTGTCAAGTGCTTTAAATGAATGTAAGGCACTGCTCAAAAAACCATAATGCATACTCACAGAAGTAAAGAGGGACAGTGGTTAAATTGTTACCAAAAATAAAAAAAAACAACATCCGCTTTTTGACAGAGAGCGGTGTGTTTTTCCACAGGAAATGAAGATGAGCACAGTGTCATGATTTGCTCTATCAGCTACTATGACATCACTGTCAATAAAGAAATGACGCCAACTTCCTGCTGTGAAATCAAGTGAATTATAAAACATCTTACAAACAAGAGGCTACTTGTGTACAAATTTAAGTGGTGGTAATTTGACTTTGTTGGGTGAAAATATTCGATAACTTCATAAAAAAGTAAATGATTTATTGCGTTAAAGCTCTGCTCTGTTCACACTTGTGTGGACATTTTGAACCGTAGTTATCGCTACCTTTAAACTTTCCGCTGTCTCATTGAAGAGCTTTCCTCGAGTGCATTATTTTCACCAGGTGTCCTAATGAAGGGATACAAATGTACATCGTGAAAAACTGAAAATGAACATAAATAAAAGTTTAAATAAATCTTAATAGAAGTCATCGACATTCCCATTGTACTCACAGTGAGTTGGTTTGGTCACCTGGCCCATTTCCTGAGAACAAGGCAAACATTTTAAGTTCAAAATGAATCGTAAAAACAACACATCACACACACACACACACCAACAAAAGTTTCCATTTACTTTCTGCGTACCTGCTGCTGTGTAGTCCTTCTTGGACTGACTCCTCTCGTAGAGCAGAATGGCGGCGACGAGGACGATCACTTCAACCACGATGGCTATGAAGGGCTTCAGAGGCTCGTAGAAACTGATGACCTTCAGCAGAAAAAAAAAACAATCACCAACTGACTGAAAACAATGTTTAAGTATTCAATTAAAAGGGAACGTTCTGCATTCAGAAACCTTTTTGGATATAACACCAAAGATATCAACTTAATAAAGAATCTCTCCTTTCCACTTTACTCAACCTGTGGATTCATAATAATAATGGAGCAGATCCATTTCTGTCACACATCTTTTGGAAGTTTCAGGACATTCAGCCCAAGATATTTTCAAGAACTCAAATTTCACACACGCACCTCACAGCGGGAGGTCATCTGTTTATGACGCTTTCACAACTCTAAATACTGTGTTAGGTTTAGGTGAGTTTAGGTTACCTGAGTACTTTGGCCTAGTTCATTTCCACACTGACCTTCAACTCCACGTGGCTCATCGTGGTGCTGATGGGGTACACTGCACCGCAGTAAAACAAGCCAGAGTCAGCCTCCGTCAGGTTGTAAACCAGCAGTTTGGTCTTCCATCCATCATTTTTGATCTCGTACCTTTGAGGCTCTGCAGCGGGAAAATCTGCTCCTAGGGTAAAAATCAGTCCAATGGATCAGAGGTCATACATTTGTTAACATGTCGTTGCTCATCAGATAAAGAAGGTGTCTATTTGGTAATTTAATACAAACCCTTACTACACTATGAATTATGTATTATAAGTGGTTTGATTTTAAATTCATAATTCAGTTAGCCCAAACTAATTTTGAAAAAGTGTCAGTTCGAGTCAACAGTGGCAAAAATCTCACACACGGCAAATAAAGCTTTCAGCTGCTCACCCACCTTTCCTGTATCATTTGCCATATACCAGTTCCAGGTGTTGGGTTTTGGTTTGTTTTCTTCCATTTTACATGTCATCACCACAGAATCCCCCACATAGCTGACAATGGGTTTATCCCGAACATCACCAATCTGTGGGGCTGGTGGAGAACAAGAGCAAAACATTAAAATGAGAAAATAACTCTTGTATAATGTGATATATATACATATATATATATATATATATATATAACTTATGAAAGGATGTGATCTGTACCTGCCAAATCAAAGTCTATCTTTGCTTCACCTCCAAAAACACAAGAGTAACTTCCAAGGTTTTCTTCGCTGATAATACTGAACCTGCAAAGGGAAAAGAAATAAGTTTGTTTGCTGTAGAGAAAATCTAAACTAAGATGAATTATAAGTATATATGCATATAATCAAGTATTTTATACCGTAATACACACCTGTATGATTGTATAATGAGACTTCTTTAAACAGTTTATTGTGGGATGTACTCAGTGGTGTAGTGCAAGGTCTACACAGGTATATGGAGTATACCCACTTCTTTTTCAGTCTCCATAGAGTGTACCTACTTCTAAATTTCCTCTGATTCCCACCAATGAGTGATTAACAATATTTTTAGGATGGTGAAGGGAGGACCCTTCAGACTAGTATGCACTAACTAAATATTCAAGAGTAGTCTTACATGTCACTGTTTATAACAGAGGCTGTTTTTCCTCTGCTGGACTGGTCACTTAAAGAAAATGTGTCCACTTCTTAAGGCACCACTACACTACTGGATGTACTGATAAATGTGGATGAGTTTGTGTAAAAATACATTTTCAGAAGATAAAGACAGAATCATTTAGTACATACTTTTGTTTGAGATTATACTGCTCATTTTCCAACTGCACTGTGACACGGCTGTTCTCAATTTCTTCTCCATCTTTCCTCCAGAAGCCGGTTATGTTTGAGGGTTTGTTCTGATTGCCAGCCCAGGTACACATCAGGGACAGGTTGACCGGGTTCAACAGTTCAACTCTCTCAGTGTGACTCACACCTGCAGTGTTTAAAATGATTTTGAACACAATCAAACAAAAGTGATTACATATCTTCATCTATGAACCAGAACTTGTCATCATGGCTGACAATAAATCACGTCATAACTAATCTAAAGCTCTATTTACAGGACTCCTATAACAACATGTAAACCTGAAAAAGACAATATGTTGACAGTTACCTTTAAGAACATAACTCCTTTCAAGTGTTGGAAGGGGGCTAATGGGATCCAGTGGAGGGGACGTTGGGCCAGGTGTCTCTGACAGGAAAACAATTTATTTTTAAACATACACATCCAAAAATGAAACACTAGCTAGCTGTATAACTAGGTTGCATAGGTGGGTATGGTTGTTTTAAAGTTCCCAGGAAATAACATACTGTTTAAGATTCTGCACCACCTGGGGTGACCAGGCCTGGAATGGGCCCCCTTGAAATCTTATTGGCAACTCCAGGTGCAATCCCAAATTAATTAACTGTGATTGGTCATTTGCCTTGGCAGAGGTGGGACTTATGTTGAAATCTACAGACAGCTAATAGTTTTCAGTGTGCAGATGTTTGTTTGTTTGCCATTTTGATAAAATACCCGAAATTGGACATTTTAACCTACAATTGTTTTAGTCCTTGAAGAATTAAGCTTAGAAGATGTATATTCTGCCATTATCTTGTGTTACTCGAAAGTCGATGTAATAAGTGCAGATAGAAAAGAAAAATAAATGCTCTAGATTCATGTGTGTCCACACAAAATTCAGGCCACCCCTGTACAAGTCAGTCCCCCAGTTGGGCAGACCAAAAAGTCTGGACACGGCCCTGCTAAAGGGCATTCTGTGTGTAATAACTTGACTGAGGGTAGTATTTGCAGGGTATTTAATGGGTTAGTATGGGGTTGTTTGTGCCAATAAGTGGTTCATGTGGTTGTTTAGGTCAGTTCCAAGGGTAATAAAAGGTGATGGCTGGGTCTCATTAAGTGCTTTCTTTTTTCATTGTATGCAGTTGTGTGTATTTATAATCTTCATGGAGTACTTTTAATAGAAAAATCAAAATCAAAACTATATCTGAGTCCAAAATTATTTTTAAAAAAAACACACAAGCTGAAAAAAAAACTACCATGAAAACAGATATCTGATACGGAACTGAACAGAAAAAAAAAATGTAAAAAAAGAAAAGATCTCATAAGGTGCCTCTCTTTTTCTATTTTGCAGAAGTTTGCAGCTGCTCAGTTCCTGAAGCCTGTAGAAAACAAACTATAAATAAGGAACTTCTTTTATCGCCGTCATACTCCTTTAAAAAAAAAACTCTGAGTGGTTACATCAGAGGTACAATTACATCAGCCCCCAAAAGATGAATGATAATTTTATCTAAATGTGTATGTGATTTACTGATCCACCCACGTTATAACTATCTGAAATATTTATTTTATTTGGCATACATGTGTCTATTTTTGATTCGTAAATAGCTAATAATAATAGCTTACTGCAGAGATAGGACAATTAGAAAATAACAAACACTGACATAGGGCAACTAAAACCAAAATAAGGCTGATACAATAATACATGATGGTGTGGAAATCCTATGATATTTTTTCTGAATTCTCACATTATCATTTAGTGGGGAAAATAAGGCAGAGAAGGGTTTCGCAGAACCACACAGTCAAAATTGAACTCAAATATAGTCATTTACTTGTATTGATGTGTCTGCAGGAGATGAGAAGCAGGAGGATCTGAAAAAAGAGCTGCTTCCAGGACGCTGACATGATTATAATCCCTCTGTCCTCTCTACGTGCAGGTTTCTCACTGCTTCTCTCTCTACTCTTCCTTCCTACTGCATCGTGCAGCAACCCCCACCCCCCTCTTTCAGCTGCAGAAGTGACGCAGCTATATGGTATCACCCTGCAGCCTGTGGGTGCCGTACTCCATCCATAATTCAGTCAGACGGACAGGGTTCCTCCTTGATGTTGCACTGCTGTGTAATGCCTTACACAGAACATGCTGTGATAAACACTTTGAAGCATTATGATGCTTTGTGTGTGTACTTTCATCAAAAAATAAAAAAATAAATCAGAGGGCTACTATGCCGGTTCTGAGGAGTTTTCCTCAAGGTGCCCTATCCTGTTGTGTCAGAGGATCTGGCAGCTGAATGTGACATGACCTTCTGTTTTGAAACCTCTATTGTTAAGAATTCTGACAAAGTGTAGTTACATTCTGTCACTGCACTTGCGGAAGAGATATTTGAGCTCTTTCTTTCCACCCCTAGAGAAAACTCCGATGGCCAATATTTACGACAACACTGACTTAAACACCCTCATGTTTGGCATTATGTATCCAGGCTTACAGGTGTACAGTAAGTGCACCACAACAGCACACACATTTACTGCAACTCACACACTTCTTTGATCAAGGTTCATGAGTTTCATCTCCAGACTTGTGTTAACATGAGACCAAAAATTGTAGGTACTGTTTGCTCATACTGGCTTTGTTTAACCGGGAACTCATGTCTTATATAAGGAGGAGATCAATTCTACATATGCATTGTCTCATGTAAAGTGTAGTCAGCACATATGTGTCTAAAAAAAACCCATTGTGTTTGTGTACAGACTTCAATGATTGAAATCTGGATGTTATTATTGTATGTTAATTTCTACATTAAAGCTCAAACTACAGGGATAATGCCAATAGAGTGAAGTGAAGTTTTCCAACCCGCTGTCAGTTTTTGACATCTCCCCTTCAGGCTAATCCCAAAATAGCAACATCAACATCTCGAGGATGATAAAGGGAACAGCCCCTTAAATCCCACTAGGAAAGTTTCACAGTTCACTGCAAGGCTGAATAAGGATATAAGAGGAGCTGATGACACCTGGTGCTGCGGGGGCTGATTCAGAGAACTGGAGAGAGAAGGCGTTGCTTGACGGGGTAATATGGGTAATATCAGTTAGGGTGGATGTTTAGTGTCAGATAATTTATCAAAAAAATTGACTGCCAACAGCTCTAGATATTTACACTAGTTTTACAGCAGAGGGAGCTCTTTCAGTTTCACTGTCAGTTGGTTCCACTTATAAATGTTCTTACTGTTTTTCAAACTAGGACATGTTAGTGAAATCCTTATGTTCAGATTACTCCAATCCTATACTCTTAACCAAAGGCCCTTATCTTGTGGAGTTTTCTTGTGACCAAAAATAGTTATGTCCTTTGCTTCTTACCAAACTGCTGTGTTTCTCCTTTTAATCTTACGCTGACTGTTTCTCCTTTACATGCAGTCCTGCTAGCTGGTTATCCTTCTTCCATTCATTTTATGGCAATGACTGACTAATGAAGCATGCAATGTATGGCATAAATGTTCCTAAATGAATGATCCTACAGAGGAGATGACATCAAAAGGACACAGACGCACCAACTCCGCTGTGTACCTTTAACTTTTATCATTGTAAGAAGTATCAAAAGCATTTTGTAAATATGTTTCAGAAGGACGGTGACTTGATCTGATCATAACATTTACAATCCAGTAAATTCTGTTTTGTTAAGAAGTCGGAGAACCTTTGATAGCTGACACTTCTTACGTAACATGGTCGCACTAATAAGCTCTTGTGATGAAAATGTGGCAGTTGGTAAAACATAATTTATTTGAAAATGTATTTGAAAAAACAGATATAACTACAGTACAGTCAGTGTATAGTTTGTTGAGGTAAAAAAAAGAAAGACGATATACGTACATTGAAGAATATAATCTAAAAAAGCTAAACAGAAAGAGCAGCATTATTCCAGACTAGACTTTTAAAGCTCCTCTCCTGAGAATTAATGACATCACATCAAGCAGCTGTTTTTACTGCTCCTGAAGCTGAAGGCTGTTGATAAACACAGCCTGCAGCTCTTTGATGTCGTCGGTGGCCTCTATGGGGGTGCTGAGCCTCCCTGGTGAGCTTGAAAGCCCAGCAGCTGAGTCATACGAGCCAGCCTCATGGTTTTCGTAGAAGCTATCCCCACCGCCTCCGACTGCACCCAGGTAGTGCTGCTGGGGGGACAGTCTGCTGTAGTCCTGGGCCTGGTGCGTGCTGTGTTGAAGGTTTAGGTATAGGTGGTGTTCTGGTCTGGGGCTGTGACAGGGGCTGTGACAGGGGCTGTGGCAGGGGCTGTGGCAGGGGCTGTGGGGCATTAGGCAGGTCTGCAGGCAGCTGTTTCTCCTCACGGGCCGGTATAGGTCGAGTCGCGCAATCAGCGGCTTGCCAATGTTAATGCTTTTGGTCCAGTGGACGGGATCGTCATCCATAGCGGGGAAGGTGCCCTGAAGGCAAACGGTGAACACCAGCTCCTCCTGCGGCATGTGAAGGATGAGAAGTAGTATTAAGAAACAGACAGGGCTTTCACACTTTCAGAAGACTCCTGAAAAAATCTGGATATTTCCAGGAGGCGCTGTATTGTGTGAACGTAAACCACTCTCCCGCCAGTCCGAGCGAGCTGATGAGAGAACGCAGCAGGATATTCTCCGGAGAATTCACCTTGAGCCAATGGTAGGGGGGAGTGAGGTTTACATACTGTGACTGCTGCACGGTGCTTAGAGTGTATGCACGCTACGATCTCTGTGCAGGTAATCAAACGGCTGCATTATGTTTTCTTAGCATTTATATAAAGATAAATATTCTCATCATAGTGACGTATAGCGTACTCTGTTGCTTGGTCCCCATACCTAAGACATTTAGGTGATGACTCTAACCCACATGGCTTACTTTACACATAGCACCACCTGCAGGTCAAAGCTTTTTCTCAGGGCTAATCGGCACAAAAAAACTAAGATGGTAACAGTGTTCTAAAATACACCTTCTTAACACGGACATAACAGCATTGTCACTGTGAGGAGTTTAGTATTCTGATATTGGCATTAAGCTCTATAAAGTCAGAAGTCTTTTTATTCATCTTATAGGAAATTATTTATTCACAGGATGGAAGAACTATAAAACCCTTTTGTAAACCTTTCAGAAGTTATTAAAAATAAATGCTTGTTACCTGCTGTTTTGTTTGAAAGAGGTTAAGTTTTCACATAAAGCTAATATTCTTTTTGAGAAAGTTATGATGAGTATATTCACCCTGAGCTTCTGCAGTGAGCTGACTCTGGTGTAAAGGCAGTGCTGTGGTAGACTGCCGGACAGGAAGTAGATCCCAGTCTCCTCTGGAGTCTCTCTATTCATCTCTTTGGGATCCACATCAAGCTCCTGCAGTATAGACGAAAAACACATCACAGCGTTATCGTTTGTGAAAATATATGCAATCAGCCAGTCTTGATATGATTCTTGGGGCAAAAGATTGCATGACAACACTGCTCACCTGTGAGAAGTCAGTGACGTGGGCTTGGCAGAAGGACATGTCCTCGGGCTTCTTCACGATGTGAGTGTAAATGACAAGGACGTTGGAGAACTCTGCAGCAAAGCCCAACTTGATCTGAGCCCCGCAGTCAAAGTTTAGACACATACTTTCAGGAAGCTCTGCATTAAAATTCAAAATACAAACAAGTCAAGTTATACCCGCTAGATTGATCCCAAAAACTGCAGCTAAGAAGGATCATAAGCAAGAGAGGTAATTAACCTAAGTTAGAGGGAACAACCCACTGGTTAGTCTGATAGTTCAGTATTTCTGGCCCTTTTATTTTAGTGTCTGTGATTTACTTTAAAGTGTAGTGAATGGTAAATGTGAGATACAAATAAAGCTGCTTTGACTTTAACAGACAGAGATGATCACAGTAAAAAACAGATATGATGTTAATGGATTTGCGGCTTTGTGCTCAATCATCAAGTATATATACAGTATATTCTAAATGACAGTATTTCAAACTAACCATGAGCCTTTGCCCAATGGCGGCTGAGAGTGTTGGCAAGATCAACGCTGTCGCCAGGCAGAATAGGATCGGTGAGAGCTCTCCTCTCTGACAGACTGCTGCGGATCTCCAGAGCCTGCTTTCCCTTAGTGGCATTAAACTGTCCCATGTCTGCACACATACACACACATACAAATAGAGAATAGAAAAAAATACATGTCAGCATTCACTGTGTTGTACTAACTTTCTGATGTTCACCGCTTTGGATAAAAGTGTCTGCTAAATGAAATGTAGAATTGTTAATTTGACTTCACAGCTTGTCTAATCTAATTCCAATATCTGCATCTCAGTTTCTATAACTGATTTAAAAAGACAACAGTTAATAATCTTTATTGCATACATTATAACATGTGTTGAATTATTTTAGTTCTTATTCTGTACTGTTTCTTTATCCTCTCTCACCCTCAGCCACTCTGTCCAGCACCACGGTGATCTTCTCGTCGTCCAGCAGTCGCTTCTTCAAGAACTTGACAAACACACCGTTAGTGAAGCCACTGGAGCTCAGCTCAAAGGCCTCCGCATCTTGGCACCTGAGGAGCCAAACCAAGAACACAACAGTCTACATTATTGAAAACTAGAAAGACATTTTTTTTTTAGTATCGATGGATCTGTAATATTTGACACTTACGTCGCATATCCAAATACAATGTTGGCTGTAACTCTCAGGACAACATTTGGAGTTCTGTCATCATGAATATTTCTGGAAAATCGACAACTCATTGTAACAATGTAAAAAAACAAAAACAAAAGTGGAACACAAATGCTCATTTAATTCATCCCTATAAATCCAGGTACAAGAAAATACAATTTGAAACAGTAATAAACGCACAAGAAAATGCTAGTCAAACCATATTACGGCATTATCTCTGTTCATTTTTTTTCACCATTTTCCTCCAGTTTAACTCTATATAGGCCATTTGCTGGTTTACTCAACATTACAGAATAATCACATTTAGTCAAATTTAATGTGT